GATAAGCTCAAAATAAATTGTTTGAGGGATAACAAAAATAATAATCATGTTAAAGATTTTAACATTAGGATCGAATGAATTTCTGCTAAAGAGTCATTATGATCTCTGGAATACGAAATGCTTAATGAATAAAAATTTCATAATTATTCATGGTCGAAGACACGGGTTCATGAATAAATCAGAAGCGTTTCTTCCCAAAGATCTAGTTAGATATTAAGTGCTGCTTAAAAATTGAATCATATTTATGCAATACTAGTTCCCGCAAAACCGTTCAATTTTTCATGTTGTATTATATTTGCTCTCTAAGCAACACTGACGCTTCAATGTAATGGAACTGTTGAACCATTCAACAATAATTTTACTCGTCAACTTTGCACACGGAAGATTTTCTGAAAAAAAAAACACGAAGAAATAAGGCAGAGTGTGCATGACATTCGAGACCTCGAACGCACTACAGGTTCGCTACAAGGCTCGATCTGGCAATATTAGCAATTTTGAGTACATTAGTAATAGATAATATCAGAAATATCAGTTTGCAAATTGTATAGCAATTTTGTTCAATACGAACAGACAGAAATGACAGAGATGTTTCATTCTAGTTGCTCTAGAATTGAAAGGATTAACCCAAGTACCAGGATTTGTAGTAAGCATATTTTTATCTTAAGTCGTTAAGGTTTGAAAAATGTTGAATAATGACAAAATAGGCGATAAATGTTAAAAAATAATCCGCTTACCGCGGCATGAATCAATCATCAGCAATTCATCTACCAAGCTGGTAAGCTGAAATAAATATTAGTTAAAGTTTATAAACCTTCACACAACATAACTTTTAAGAGAAAAAGTATATCATTGCTCAATGTTAAAAGCTCAATGTTATTCTTAATGAAAAACTAACGAGGATTAATGTTCTTGCTGTACAATGTGGAAACTTATGTATGGTGCATCGTGTTATGTGTGATACATGGTATTGTGTATGATACATGTTGTTATGTGTGTTACATGGTCTTAGGTGTGATACATAGTGTTATGTGTGATACATAGTGTAATGTGTGATACATGTTGTTATGTGCGCTACATGGTGTTATATGTCTTACAATAGGGTATTATATGTTATACTCTACAAAGGCTTCAGGGTCTGCCTCTCTCAGCAGTCGCACTTTAACCGTTGAATGTCATGAACCTTCGTCCTTACACATCGAGGCCTTCGCCTGCCGCTCGCCAGTATATCTGCCCCGACTTTAATCAACGCAGCGTCGAGTAACGGACAAAATTCCGCTCTCATTCAGCGAGAGAGTAGGTCACATGCCACGTCATTACGTTTTGGGATCTGTACTCCACCCAACACACTTTAATTGGGACTGTATTCTCTCTCATAACGTCGATATACAACGTTATCTCTGCATTGTGAACACGTATTTTGCTTCAGCGATTATCGTTCAACGGTTGCAGCACATTCTATTTGATTTTTAAGCATTCTATAGGATTTCCCTTCATTTGATAGCAGTGGAAAATTAGAAGGAATTTAAAAGCAAAGAAAACGCCAAGAAAATTCACCATATCGATATTGAAAACGTTTCGGAGTCCAGCTCCATAAATGAATAAAATCACTTTAAAAGTCAAAATTCAAAGACAGACATAAAACCTAAACAAGACTTGTTTAGGTTTAAATGTTAGGTCTTGTTTAGGTTTTATGTCTGTCTTTGAATTTTGACTTTTAAAGTGATTTTATTCATTTTTAGTTTAGTCGAACTGATGATGGAGCTGGACTCCGAAACGTTTTCAATATCGATATGGTGAATTTTCTTGGCGTTTTCTTTGCTTTTAAATTCCTTGTGAACTTGCGATAGAAGCAGATTAATAATATAAGTACTTATATACGATGGAAAATTAGAGTTGAAACACCGAAACGCTTAATTAAAGCTTGGTAAATATTTTAAATAAGAATGAGGCTAAGATATAAATGCCATGAGCTTCGAGAAAATTAATGATATTATCAAACGATTCAAATACGGTTTTAGAAATGGCACGAAAATGACAATTTCTTCATAATTCTTAACGACTTATTAAGTTGCTGTTTCATAGGTCGAATAAAAGTAGTCAAAAATATGATTACGATTTAAGCAAATTGTTGAAATCTATGTTATTTTTCACGTTTTGTTAATAGTTACTTCAATGCAGCAGCCAGCGCCGTTGTTTGACAAGCTCACTGATAGGAAAAACCAAATTGATTTTTGCTCTCAAGAGAACATTTCGGAGATATTTTTTATGTCCAGTTTTAGATTCTGAATGCCGCAGTTCATAGGCAAGCTGATGGTACAATTTAACAACCTTGAAAGCTTTTAACTGTCAAATTAAATGAGTTGTAAAGTATTAAATAAATATGAAGTCTGTCTCGCCAGATTTAGAATTCTCATACGAACTTGTCTTGAGATATTAAAAGCGAAATAGTGAAGTCAATAGACGACCAATATAGAAATTCAGCTAGTTCATGATTATAATTTAACTAGTAAAGCAAGCGACTCCATAAAAGTTATCTCGTGTTATTTTACTCACCATATAAAACTGCAAAATATAAATGACTAATAATTCGACTCCGATAATAATATGAGGCATAACAAGAATACTCCACAATGCACGATCAAAATGCAACATGTATAATAGAATTAAGAAACCGATACCACTCAAGAAATTTAATTTGATACGACTTTATACACCTTGATTTGCATTCAGTGCTTATACAAAACATGCGAGGCAAATATAATTTTACCTGAAAGCAATTTGGCCAGCACAATTACAATTATATCAACCTAACCACTACACGACTCGCGTTTCACTCTACTTACTCGTCCTATATTGTACTCAAGACACACTCAATGACTCACCCATGACACACTCAATGACACACTCATGACACACTCATTTCGACACTCAATAACTGCATTTAGCTCTCACGGCCACCACTAATCCTTCGCAAGCTGGCAGGATTTAAATTCTCATTACACGGCCTAAAATTTTTCGCACAACTTCGAGTGGAGGTCGACAGCCTGTGTTGGCCACGAGCGTTTAGAGGACACAAGAGAACAGCGTCTCCTCAAGGTAATCTCGAGCGCCTCGAAATCAAGACCTCGCGATTCTCTAAGTGATTTTCTTGGTCGATTTGTTCAACCTTGAGAAAACACCGCGGACTTGATGTTTTATTTGGTGATGCGTTTAGTTGGGAATTTAATAGCGAAGAAAATTCACTTCACTTTTAATGAAAAAGACGACGTTTTTGTGAACAGCTCTTTCTCCAGGTCTAAAATTGAAAGAATACAGGTATATGAATTCGCAGTTAAATACATATGCAGATGGGATAATTCAGTAATAGTTATTTTTGTATTTAGAGCCATGTTTAACTAGCGATATGAAGAAGTAACGTGCTGAGCTCAAGGGCAGTACAAGTCCTGGGTTATTTAACTAATATTTCGAATAATTTCAGTGTACATTCAAGGATATATCTTAATAGCATTTCATGGATATGTCTTCTTTCCATATATGTCTTCCATCTTCTTTCCATACATGCCGTCTTCCAAGTGGAAAAAAGAATATATCTTCTTTCCAATTCATTGTTATTTTTCATAATAATGAAATGGAAATTTTCCATTTCATTATTCACAGAATTGTTTATACAACCAACACGTACGAAAATAAACTTACATGTCGTAAATTAGCTCCAGTAAACAGTTACTCTTTTAGTTCATTCAACAGCACATGTCCATTTTTTATTTGCAGAATTCACCGAAAAAATCATCATAAATGACAAGTAGTCATTTTTGTGAACGAAAAAAGTTCATTTTCATGCCAATTTAGAAGTGCTTCATATGCCCAAATTTTGGTGAACGGCATTTGCCTCTACGGTAGTCATTCCTACCTACAATTAATTCCTCCTACAATTCATCCTACACTCACAACAAAGTGATCGAGTAGGTGTGATGTTAAATACTCTTCCTGCCCAGATGTGTGGAGCATGTCGAGGAGCCAGTCCCTCAAAAATTGGAGTAAAGCAAAAAATATATATATAACTCAGTAATCACTGCAGTGAGTGACAGAGAGCGTATTTTCTCGTTGACAAAAACGTGAAGTCACGGACGGACGGACAGACGGACGGACAGACAGATGGACATGATGAGCACAATAGTGCCTTTTTTTCATAAATGAGAAAATGCGCTAAAAAGAGTTAAATACTCCACTGCCGTTTCCTCCGATCATCTACTGCTTTTGGTAACGAAGGCACTTAAACGGAGTCAATTATAAATCTTTTTCAGAAAATAATCGCATGCTGGGTTATTCTAAGATCGTGGAAGCCAGAAATGTAATGATGAATCATTTTGCGATGTGTGACCGGTTAGACTGATCACGAATTCTTTGAGTGAAAAAAAATATTGATTTTGATTCGGCAGCGCGTTGCTGCTACCTGGCGTAAACAATGTGAAACTTGATAGTTTCAACGAATCATAGCCCGTTATTGGTGCATTTAGCTCATGCAACAAAATAGTTATGATTTTATAAATTGAGATGAATCTTTTCGTTCGATATGATCAGGTTTTACTTTCATTAAAACTCGTTTTCGGAAACTGCCTGAGCTTTTCAAATATCTGGCTACACAATTTCTGTAATTTTGCCGACGACCGTTCAATGATGTAGCAACGATATATCACTCGATTTTAATACAACGATTTAGTCAATCGTGTTAATAATCCTTATTATACGCCGCGCAATAGTGGTCGATCTTTACCACTATGTAGGAGATTGTATGAAGTTTTCTTGATTTATTTATTCTGTGTATATTATTATTCATTCTATGTTTATATTAAGGAATCAATATAATGATGTAAATATAGAGTACTAGCTTTTTTAAACATGACTCCAACATTTCAAATTACAACTAATGCAATTTGCTCAAGCCGTTATGATATATTCGGCGTTAACATTTACATTTACGTTTTTATTATTAATTTCAGGACTCAGAATGCAGCAATATGTATCCTGAAGCCAGAGAAAGAAGCATCGAGAAGCGTCAACTGCAATCCAACAGCGTAGATAGCAGCGACACAAACAGCAACACTAACAGCATGTACAGCTGCAACGGCAGCTACAACGGCAGCTACAGCGACGCAGGCACCTGCAGCCTCAGCACTGACAGTAGCGGCTGTTCCAATAACGACCCAAGTCATTTCGTGTCTAACAAGTTTTCCCCCTTACGACAACTGGACAGCATTTTTGAGAGGCAGATGAATGCAAGCGATCAAAAAATCTCGGCCATGAACAGCTTAAACCTAGCCGCAGTCGATAGTAGGAATATAAGTTCGGATTTTCCAGTGAAACACCAACGCAGCAGAAGCCGACAAAGGTCTCTCAAGTACGAGAGTAACGCCGAAGACATCGCGCGTCTCAACGAAAAAACGAAGAAATGCTACAAGAATTTCGATTTTGCTCAGTATCCAGTGAGGTCTTCAACTAATGAAACAGCTGTAAAGTCATCCTGGAATAAAAATGAAGAGGTTTTGATGAACAACTTGAACCAAAGTGTAATGATGAATGGTTTCAACGTTTCGAGAGAAAAATGTCTTCGCGACAATAATATTAATGAGGATAAATCACATCAAAGCTCTCCTGCAATTCAAAGAAACTACGAAGAAAAGATGGCCACAAATTTTAGTAGCTCCTTCCTTGCCGCTGACGAAGACAAGACATTTATTAATCACAGCCAAGTGCGTAGAACTAAAATCTATCCGAATTTCTGCGACGGTTCTGACAAGGAGCAGAGAAGAAGGCGACACAACAGCCTGGGCACCACATGTGCCGCGAAGATAAACGTGCTGCTGTTGGGTGCCAAGGGCGTCGGAAAATCAGGTTTGCACAATAATATGAATAGAATAATATACTTTTAAAAATTACTTTTTAAAGACAACACTCCCAAAGAGACCAGCGTCTCCGATGCTACTAATATACAAAGAATTTCTTTTTTCATTTTTAAATAATAATTTTTTTTGACATTTTCTTTAATATAAAAAACAAATTTAAATTTTTTTCTATTATTTATTCTTATTCTGACAATTAATTTAAGTATTGTCTCCGATTTTACGCAAGTGTGCAAAATTTCAAATCAATTGGGCAGGAATAATTATGTTAAATATCAATTAAAAGATTTATAGCAGACAAACAACAATGAGTGAAGTTAAAGAGAAGTGTTGTAAAAAGGAATTGTATGCTTTATGTGCTTATATTACACACGGGAATTGGCTGCCTGGTATTATGTGGAACTTTACCATAATATTTGGTCTCCAGGCTCATCCGCATCTGAAGCAGGCCTAAATTCCTTCTAACCTTGAATCTTTCTAAAAAATTATCTGAAATCCTTGTTTAATTCAAATAATACTAAGTAAAGGGAATTTAATGGAACAGAATTTTTCTTATAATCCTGTTATTTATTTCACGTTTCCAGCTTTGGCGGTGAGGTTTCTGACGCACCGTTTCATCGGCGAATATCACTCCGCTGTCAGTGAGTAAATTCACCTCACTTGAGAACCATGGAAAATAAATTCGAAATTTCAGTTTATAAATTATTTGAATTTGATAATTACGAAGATTTGAGAGTGTGTGTATTTTTATGGTTCAGTAGGTTAATAAAAATGCATAGGCTTATATAGCATTGATATCGAAGCATTAATTGGCTAAACTTGCAATTGAAAAGCTTGGTCTTATTTTATTAATTGAATATTATCTTTTTTAAGTATGACTCCAAAATTTACAAATAGATTTCTTTTTCCTGCCATTTTCCAAATCTTCATTACTGTTCATAGAACCTTATTTTGTTTCCACTTGAGTCTATTCAAATAATATAAATTTAAATTTCTTCGTGAAACATTCTCACATTCTTTTAATTGATCGGAATTGGTAACAGCTTCTTTTACCAACACTTATTCGTAGAAGTCACCTTGTAAAAGTGCAATTAATTTGATTCATAAATGAGTTACACATTACGGAATGGATGTATATTATGAATACCTAGCAAATATTCTCGTAAATTTTAATATACATATTTGCAGCAATCGTGTATCGCCACTCAATGGTGGTGGACAGCCGCGAGCGCGTCCTCGAGATCGTCGACTCTTCAGCTAAGCCTGTGAGATCACTTGCTTTTTTCTCTCTGCATTTTTGCTGGACATTTTTGAAATTAGGAAACATTATATTAATAAAGTAAAGCAATAGAATTAAATAACACACAATTTATCATTATTTCTATTCATTATTAGCAATACTGCTCGGAAATTGGACTTTCCTTAAGAAATTATAGTCTCCTGCCAATTCTTCCGCACCCAGTCATGATCACCGCTATTTGTGACATGAAAATTTAATCAAAGTATCCTCTATCTTATCCTCATGACATGCAAATTACAGGGAGAATGCAGCCTACACAAAGCTGAAATATCAGCAGCTGATAGCGTGGCGGTGGTCTACAGCGTTACTGACGCTGAAAGCTTCAGCACAGCGCGGCGCTGCCTTCAGAGAGTGCATGAAATCAGGGACGAGCGGCCGCCCATAGCGCTCATGGCGAACAAACTTGACCTGGACCACTGTCGTGAGGTGAGACCCGACTCATGCTGGACCCCTGTCGTGAGGTGAGACCCGACTCATACTGGAACAATGCCGTGAGGTGAGACCCGACTCATACTGGACTACTGCCGTGAGGTGAGACCCGACTCATACTGGACCACTGCCATGAGGTGAGACCCGACTATGCCGTGAGGTGAGACCCGACTCATACTGGACTACTGCCGTGAGGTGAGACCCGACTCATACTGGACCACTGCCGTGAGGTGAGACCCGACTCATGCTGGACCCCTGTCGTGAGGTGAGACCCGACTCATACTGGACCCCTGCCGTGAGGTGAGACCTGACTCATACTGGACCACTGTCGTGAGGTGAGATCCGACTCATGCTGGACCACTGCCGTGAGGTGAGACCCGACTCATGCTGGACCACTGTCGTGAGGTGAGATACGAATCATGCTGGACCACTGTCGTGAGGTGAGATCCAACTCATGCTGGACCACTGTCGTGAGGTGAGATCCAACTCATACTGGACCACTGTCGTGAGAACGAGCATCAGGATTACCCACGCAAAAGCAAAAATTGCATCAATTTTTGGACAATGTGTCGCTTATTTCTCATAGTGATCGCGACAAGTATTGACAAGCATGATTTTGCACTATGGATCGATACATACAAACTTAATTTATATCATAGTTCACACATTACACAAAAATACACTATGTTGTGTTAATTCTCGTCTGATTGTTTGAATTTTAAAATGAAATTTAAAAAAATCTACTGAAATTCCGGCAGTGAAAATCACTCACAAAAAATTATTATCCCTTTTCAATGTACATAATTGGAAAGAAGCGATAAAAAATGGAAAATATGACTCCGGTTTGCGACATGAAAAACTTTTCGACGTTAATTAGAAAATGCAGTGATAAAAATTGGCCTGACCATGCAAATGTTATTATTCATTGATAAAATTCAACATTTTTCTTGAAATAAACTAGAGATTCCGTTTGATTTTAGTCTTGCGTTGTTATCAATGAGGCCCGCAGACGAGAATGTCTACTTCATTAACCTGGATTCAAGTTCGTTTCTCTCTCCGCCTAGTCAAAGCCAGCCTGCAATCACAATCAGTGATCGATTACCTGATAGAAGTTAGACTTAAATTACAAGCTTACGCGTGTTTGGTTTCTGTGCAAGATGGCGCAGCCGCCACCGCGTGATTATCGTTCTTGTCTTTACAAATTCCGACCATGATTTTAATCAGAACGTTAATTTAGTTATTCCATTGATTAGAAATTTCCAAATGCATCTACTGAATCGATAAAAAATACCCATATAATTTCATTATCTAATCACTCGAATCTCCGGGGTTTTGTATTGAAAATTATTTTCTTCAGTCGTACGGCAACTGAGCTTTAAAATTGTCATTTCCAATGACGGGTTTGCCACTCGTTTGAGCGAAATCATTGCCACGAGCAGCAATGGCTGTCATTAGAGGCTCAATGGCAAGAAATTACAGGTTTCAGTCAGAGACGAGGAAGTGAAGATTGGAGGTGCGATATCAAAGAAACATCTGCGTGATTGCATCGAAATTGTTTCGTAATTACCCAAGGATAAGCAATCATCTGGCAGCGGGTGTTGGTAAAAAAAGGAAAGGACAAGTGACGAATGATGGAAACAACGATAATTGACTTCTCTCAATTATCTCTTCGCCCTTGTTTCCATTGCTGGCATGGCAATTTAAATAAAACTTTTTTATTCAAGTAGTCGTTTAGACGTAGACGTTGTATAAAAGTTTTAGATTGCAATAGTAGGAAAATTTTTCATTGCTAAAACAAATTCTTTCAACTATTTTATTGGATCAATTAATAGTGATAGTTACAATTTATAACATATTAGCATTTATATGAATTTGAACTTTGCAGATCACTCGAACTGAAGGCGAGGAGCTCGCGGAGGAATTTAATGCCCACTACGCTGAAGTCTCCGCCGCCGAAAGTAGTTCCGACATCGAGCCCACGTTCCTCTACTTGGTTCAGAAGGCCGTGGGCTGCTCAGCTTCATCTTGTCATTTGAAAATGACACGTGAATCTTCCCCTAAAAAATCACTTGCATCTTTTCGTAAAAGCCTTTCCCCTTCATCTATAAGAAGATTTGCTCAATTTAGAAACGAGAATTACGAATCTTCTTTGCATCGCACTGTATCAGCCATTACTAACCTGAATTATGGGCCGTTTAGCTCCAGCCACGTGGGTGGCGAATGTAGGAATCAAAGAAGCTCTCGAGCCAAGCGGAAGGGAGACCCCGTCTGTTCGACGAGGTGCACGAGCTATGACGACTCCAAGACCTTATGTCAAATGGAGATTTTGGATTCAGATGGTCCTAATAGTTCACCTAATTTCTCTAAGAATTCGACATTTTCTCGAAGAAAAATAACAGCCGTTAAAAAAATTCGACCTTCAATGCCGACTGGTCGTACAAAACGAAGAGAAAAATGCTCATCGCTTACCAAAAATTGGACCTCGAGGATAACTTCAAGTGATGACTTATATGTTCCATCTTCAAAAAAATACATGTCTAATTTAGTCCTTTCATCTTCTGGTAGCTCGAGGTTAGCTTTACTAAAAGATGAGACAACACCCGCACATTCTTTGTTAAATTATTGTACTCGTTTGTCGCGGTCGGTCGATCAAAACCTGCAGAAGGTGGATCATCCAGCGGACTCAGCGGATCATTCGATAGCCGACATGAAGATCATTGCCGAAGAAAAACCTTTAAGTTTACTTCAGAGAGGACGCTCATTCATCCAGGAAGCAAGAGACAAACATTGGCGTGACAAAGATTTGCGACTGTCACTTCGAAATTTTGGGTCCCGAACAGACGTGTCCAAGACGGAGAAATTTCTATCAGCGGGACCGACTCCTCGCCCACGAACGGTGAGCAGTCCCAAGAAACTACCCACAGGAGGCAGTACGTGGCTGGTATGTTCTGAAGAAGATAATATAAAGTCGAGAGATTTCGCGAAAAATCTCATGGTTCCTTGGTCAAAGGAAAATCCTGAGTTACTAAGTACTTCAGAAAAGATATCAAGATCTGAACCTGCCACTGCTAACATTTGCGCTGATGATATTCACATACCTGGAACTCCAGAGCAACATACCAACTCGGGAAAGTCGACAGGGTATGGAGGAGAAAGATTTAGAAAATTCGCCGTATTTAGTCGCACTTTCGGTAATTTTTGGTCTAGAAGCTCCATGCCAGATCTTCCTAAAGCCTCTTCGAATATTTACGATAAGTTCGATTCCTTCAAAAAATCTCTAAAGAAGAGGTCTGTTTAATTGGACCAAGTGCTAGATAACAGTGCCTCTCATCGTATTCTTTGTGTATTTTTGGCTAGGTTTATTCCTTTCGCAAAATAAACTTTTTACTTGATTAGTTTGGACTTCAACGCCCAGACTGCGTTTCGTTTTTGTCTCCGGTTTTGGGAGGCAGGTATTGTTGCGTTCAATAAACTCTAAAATCGATTTTTGTATAGAAATTTATACCTACATAGTGTCAAAAAAATAATTGTTATTTATTGTTCCTCATTTTAAGAAATCAGCAAATACTTAACTTGTATGGAGAGAGAAAAATTTTAAAGCTAAATTGACTCGAAAGCCAATTTAATTATAATACGTTGAAACTACAGCAAAAAATTTGCACTGTAAAATTTCCTTCTGTGATCGATTGGCCGTATATTAGAATGAGTAAAAATAGGTTAAGAGTGCATAAATTTTATACGGAAATATTACTTAAATATTAAGATTTGAATTTATCTAATTTGTTAAAATTTCCGAAACATAAAATATATTAACGGTTATTAGAATAGTACAAATTTTTACCTTCGTATTTGTGCCTCCGAATATTACCTAATAAATAACAAGTGTACTGAATTCAAGAGTATAAGAGTATAATGGCAAGCTGTATTTAGGAAAATTCCTGTTACCTAACAATCTATTTGCGTTCACCAGCCTCGTAAGCTGGTCAAGGAGATTTAGTGTCTCCTAATATGTTCGGCATTTTTGTAGTGCATGGAATAAATGGTGAGCGAACCTGAGGGATTTCTCATTTTTTGACCTTTAACAATGATGCTGTAATGTGCTATTACATAATAAGCTTCGGAGATGATACAAAAAGAGCGGTTTTATTTTTCATGTGGTGTGAATACTAACTCATTGGGAGGTAATAGCCATGAATGAGATGTAGCCTACTACTTCAAAAAATATAACTCAGTACTCACTGCAGTGAGTGACAGAGAGCGCATTTTCTCGTCGAGGAAAACTTGAGGTCACGGACAGACGGACAGACAGACAGACGGACGGACAGACATGGCGAGCACAATAGTGAATTTTTTCCATAAATGAGAAAATGCGCTAAAAAGGAGTAATTTACATAATTTTGGCAATAAATGAGCTTAATGCCAGCCTGCATGTTCAAGCAATCGCTGCAAGCACGAAGCTTCCATGCAGTGCATTTAATTGAAATGAATCGACATGTTCAAAGCGCATGACGACGAGTGAAGATAAATTAGCAACTTAGTCTCAGGTAGGATTGCTTCTATTTTTATAATCTCTAAAACACTTTAATTGGCTTCGCAAACGCCGACAAATCAGCTTAAAATTTCTGGAGCCTCGGCGAACGATATTTTAGTATTGGAAAATCCTTGGCCGTTAACAGTCAATTTTTATGCACCAACCGCCTGAGGAATATATTCACTGATATCTGACAAAAATATTTGCAAATATCAGCATGAAACAATTATATTCTGTGTAGGTTTGATACTAATACACAAGCAAGTGAATTTTCTTCCTTGAACTCCGTTTAATTATTCAGTCTTGGAGGCCGAAGGACATTCACTCATGAATAAATTAAGCAGCTTACATCTATAAACTGATTATTTTGTAAAATTCAAGACTAATAGTGGCCGAGTAGCACGGTTTTGATGTTTATTTTATAACTGCGATTTTTATATATGTTAAATTAAAAACGAGAGTACGGAGTTTCAATCAACATTTCGATATTTTTTCGACTTTGCAACCAAAAAAAATCCAGCAAGATATCATAATAATTAAAATTTCTCATAAAAATCAATTATTTTACATTAATCAAATAGCACGCATCAAACCGTAATATTTTCCACACCCAAAAGTAAAAAAATTTTTATTTCATTGTTCTACATTTGCACGTGCTAAGTTCATACGTAAGTAATGCACGTGCTAAGTTCATTATCAAAAGACGCCATAAAAAATTGTTGGAGTTGCATTTCACCGAAATTCAATTGACGTTACAGTACTCTCAATGCTAATTAAAAATTACGAAAAGATAGAAATAATCACCAAATTCACGAATAAATCACAAAATTCGCCAAAAAAATAAAAAAAATCACGGAGAAACCACAAAAGTCACGGAGAAATCACAAAATTCACCGAGAAATCACCTAGTTCATAGAGAAATTGCAAAATTTACCGAGAAATCACCAAATTTATGGAAAAATCACAAAATTCACCTAGAAATCACCAACAAAACACCCGAAAAATTTTCAGTTTATCACGGTTTCATGCAAGCATGTCTGGCTCGTTAAGTGAGCTGAAGAGAGACTACAATATAAGCGTCCTCGAAGGAAGCAATCGGCCACTCTATGACACTCAGTGCGCTAATTATTAAGGACTTTCAGACCGGACTTATTGCAAGCTGATTATCCAAAGTGTCCTTCTGACATATAAAAGCAAATGCGCTTCGCGTTGAATTGTTATTTATAACATCGGCAAGCACTGTAAATATTTCTATTTATTGTAATATGAATTAGTAGTACAGAACCCATAGGTTAAGGAGAGGCTGCATCAGACTACAGGTATGAATAAATTTATTGTTGGTCTATTCAGAACTTATGATGAACTGAACCTTGGAGCAAATTTATATGACGAGGTTGAAATCAAACATAGACTATTTCCTTGGTGAATTAATTTAAGAAATTATAATTTTTGCTATTCACCCAGGTTTGTTTAGTCATTGAACAACCGCCACATGATTGCTTTAAGTGTGAGAATCATGGACGATATGGCAGCGTATGGCTTATGTCAAGCAGCTATTGCTGGTTTTATACTAGAAATTTTGGCTAATTGTTTTTGAGCGTGATATGTTAATTTATCTCCTTGAAAAATACAATCATGTTGATATAGTTCGCGGGACATAATTCTAAACCTCCCAATAAAAACCTATTGCATGAAATTAAAAGGCATAAAAATTTTGATGCTCATGGTTTATTAAAAATAATTTAATGCGTTCAAACAATGATGGACATAAATCCTCGTATGGGATTTCCGAAAAGTTTTTATGAGTACCTATCTTAATTCGCTAAAATTTCGCAATGAGAACCGTTACCAATAGGTACGATAAACAATTTATCAATCTATCTCCAAAATGCGTTCTATCGTGGTAAGTAGGCACATTTCAGAATTAGCCAATTCTCCTTTTTTCGCCTTTAAAAAAATTAGCCAATTGTACCTTTAATAAATAATATAGATAAATTAATGAATTAAATAGGTTACTAATCATGAGCGACAGTTAATTACCGCTTGACCACAATGTCAAAATCCAAATAAGTCATAAGTCCGCGCGGTCATATGTCCGCGAAACACACGTGTCTTGATAATCTATGAATGTTCAAGAAAGATGCCTTTATCAAACTACACTTCAATGTACGCATGATCTACCAAAGCCGCGTCATTAACTTCATGCTGTGAAAATTTGCCTCTGCGTGGTCCATTGAACTGTTATGGCAGAGAAGATTAGCCAAATCATTCAAAGATTATAGCTTCAATGATCTCAAAGAGAGGGAGGAAAATTGTTCTGTCTATAATTGTCTGAATAAAATTTCCACGTGTGTTGTTTTCCGGATAAATGAAGCCAACTTCGGTGGATCGTTGGTAAATTATTTGGTTAACAACCGAGGGGGGGGGAAAGACGCAATCGTCAAAAGCCATTAAATGCAATTTTTTTGACACAAGTGAACGCAGTTTTTGGCGCATGCGAATGCAATTTTTGGCACATGTAAACGCAGTTTTTAGCACGTGTGAATGCAATTTTTGGCACGTGTGAATGCAATGTTTGGCACGTGTGAATGCAGTTTTTGGCACGTGTGAATGCGATTTCTGGCACGTGTGAATGCAATGTTTGGCACGTGTGAATGCAATGTTTGGCACGAGTGAATGCGATTTTTGGCACATGCAAACGCAGTTTTTGGCACGTGTGAATGCAATGTTTGGCACGTGTGAATGCAATGTTTGGCACGTGTGAATGCAATGTTTGGCACGTGTGAATGCAATGTTTGGCACATGTAAACGCAGTTTTTGGCACGAGTGAATGCGATTCCTGGCACGTGTGAATGCAATTTTTGGCAAGTGTGAATGTAATTTTTGGCACTTTTTGGCATATTTAAATGCAATTTTGGTACGCGCTCTCGTTTTTTATTAGCCGCAAAGCACATTTAAATTTAAGAGCGACAGCCATGCCAACAGAACATTGTCGATTCTATCCAATTAAATTTTACTTTGCAGAAAACCAGAGTGTTAGCCTGAAATTATGCGTTCATCCAGATATTCATCGCAAAATAAAAATAAACCTAAACTTCATGGCGTACTAATTATACTACTCAAATTCATAATGAAATGAAATGAAATAACTCTGTAATAAAAATGAAACTTAAAGCGACGGGCAACGGTTAGTTAATAATTTATTTTGAAGTTTCCGATTTACAGCATAATATTGAGTAGAATTAAATCCAACCATTAAATAACTATGGAACATTTATGATACTTTGCAACCGTCAAATCAACACGATTTTAATGCTGAAGAAAAGGAGCGTAAATTTTCGTTTTCCTGGAACGTTTAACTGACAGGAAAACTGAGTAATTGTTATGTAATTTGTTATGAAAATTATAATTGTTATGAAAAACAACACAAGCTGAGACGATCCCGATCTGCGATGTTGATTCCATGACAGCAAAAACTTGAGGTTCAATAATTTTCGTGTAATAAGATCACGTGCCCCTTATAGAGACATGAACATTTTTATCTATTTTCACTAAAATAAATGATTCTAATAATATTAGGCGACGCACACTAATATCTGGGTTCATACGTCAATATCACGCTAATATCGGGCAGCGTGCGTCAATATCACGCTAATATCGGGCAGCGTGCGTCAATATCACGCTAATAACGGGCAGCGTGCGTCAATATCACGCTAATATCGGGCAGCGTGCGTCAATATCACGCTAATATCGGGCGGCGTGCGTCAATATCACGCTAATAT